GATACTTTATACAAATGATGGGAGACAGTCAAAACATGATGATGGTGAATCCAGCTTTTTCTGGACAAATCTGTCGCCGTCACTCACTTTCTGCTAAGACACAGTTTATATATTTTTTTTGCATCTCTCTTATCAATAAAGATATATAATTTTGGGAAATGGGTAAATTTTGAAAGTCTCTCCTGTTGTCACCTGTCCTCATGATTTGGGCTCAAGATCCCGCACTGGCTTCCCACCCACTAAAGCCTTCTGTTCCCTCTGAAAGCACTACAGCCAGAGAATGAGGCCAGGTCACTGAAGGATGCCTTTCCCCCGTGTTACATCAGCCTTTAGTGCAGCTTTAAAATCAAGATGTGATGCCACGTGTGAGACACAGTCATACTCACTGAGCACAGGTCATGAGCAGGATGGCGATGCAGCTGATGACTGACAGGACCACAGCAATGATTACCAAGACCGTCTGCACCAACTCAGTGTCACTGCCCCCCCTGGTGCGGGTCTCCAGAGTTTGGATCCCACAGCGCTCCCCGTCATAACCCTTCATACATCTGCAGAGTGTATATTTTGTTAAACATGAAGAATAGGGTGAGAGTGTAAATAAATGTGGCTTCAGATGTTAAACTTTACACAAAATAGTGAATATGTCCATTTAGTCAAAATAAGGAAAGATAGCAATAAACCTCATCTTAAAAAAAAAAAAAAAACTAATATATAAATTTAATTATGTATTCATGTCATTTTTTGTTCTTGCCTGTTGGAAAGTTCAGCAAAAAATGATGTGGATTATTTATTCTGATGATAAACTCGTGATCAACTTGCCTCTGACTAAACCACGGTGCTCATATTCACCCACATGCAAACACCCAAAGTGAACTGATGCCGTACTTACATGCACACTGGCTCCTGCAGGCCCTCTATGTGCTTGCAGTAACCATGAATACAGTAGCCCAGGTGGGTGGAGGTGCAGGGATCCTCTGCGGTGGTGAGAGTTGCCGTGTATCCGTTGGTGAAGACCATGTGCTCGGGGTTCAAAGGAGTCGTGCTTTTGCTCTTGTGCCTGCTCCTCCTCTTGCCTTTGCCTTTCCTTTTCTTCCTCTCATCTTTACTGGGATTTAACTCTGTAGCAGGAGAAAGGTTCATTTTAGGAGTTTCCACATATAGGTTCAAGCAGTTTACGTGATGAATTTTTCACATACATACACAACATCCCTGACTGTGACTTTTTTTGATCAACAGTGTAAAGCAGATAAGGAACAGCGAAATTCTTCACTTCTCCATTGCATTCAGAAAAAATATATTTACTGATCACAAATGGCCCAGCATTTCAACAAAACAAAAATCAAGTTCAAGAGGAAAAGAGCTTGTTTGATTTGTCATACCATGAGGGCTGAAATTTTCGTTGTCCCCTCCTGAAAGCTCTTCATCTATTTCCAGCTCGTCATCGTCGCTCAGCAGAGTCTGGAGGCCCTCCCCAGAGGCCGGACCCCCAGTCACTCCAGCTAGTCCACTGGAGTACGTGGCCTCAGATCCCTGAGCGCCCAACGAACTGCAGACTACTGTAAAACCAACAGAACACACAGAAAACAAACAGACTAATGAGTGAGATCAAATATACATAGAGATATATATATTTTTTAAAAAAGATAAGCAATAGGGAGCAATTAGAGTCAAAGTTTACATCATGCAGTTTAATGTGGTGACCCCAGTATTTTATATCCACAGCATTTGGAAAGATCAAGAACGTTTTTTTAAAGCTAGATACCAAACTCAGACTAGAACCTGTTGCCATGAAGGGATGAAATGAATTATAATTATCTGGAAGTTTTATTTTTCTGCAACCAGAAAAAGGACAAACATCTTGAGATTGATGAAATGGCATCCAGTTCTTTTATTCCTATTCTATGGTCACCAGGAACCTAAGCTTGCCTGGTTACTTTCTATTGGCATTGTATTCAGAATCTTTGTCCCATTTACATCTGACTTATCCATTCATCTTAAAATATCGAGCGCAATCTGAGCCCGCTAATTACATACATGCTGTATTGACACTAAAACAAGTACAACCAGTCCACATCCTGAACAATGCTGTACCTGAATGCATCATTCACACACGATGAGAACAACAATGAATGAAATTCAAAGACTAATGAAGAATTTGAAATATGTTGACCTTTCGCAGCATCTGGTGCTGTTGTATAATGATCTGGCCTGGTAATGATTCAGATCCATCCTGAGAACCAGAGGCGCTGCACTTCTGAGACGAATTCTTTTCTCTAAAACCTGCCTGACAAGTCCTCACTTGCAGAGACATTTCTTCCTTGCTTGCCCCCCACCCAGAGCACCCCATTCCTCCTCTGTCCTCATGCCATTTTACATTTCTCCTCTTTCCATTTCATTGATTTTCCTGGCCCTGCACACACGCAAACACACACATACATAATAAAGGTACAAGTCCAAACTTACCGAAGCACAGGAGACAGGTGAGGACGAGAGGGTTCATATCCCAGGAAGAGAGTGTTTTGTGTATGACAGTCCTGTGCAAATCTGTGCGAGGGTGTGTGTGCGTGCCCGAGTGTGATGTGCCTGTTTGTCCCCTGCTGATAGAGATTGTGCTTTGCTCTCTTTACCTCTGCTGGGTGCAGCTTTTATAGACCAACGCCTGCCTCTCAACTCTGAGGAGAAAGAAGGGTGTGTGTGTGTGTGTGTGTGTGTGTGTGTCTAGTGATTAATCAGCCTCAGGCAACACATTTTGTACCTCAACTCCTCACACATGACAAACCTCTGTTGGAGAATAATTAGTCTGAATGAGATTGAGACACAAAACAGTTTGATGTATTCTGACTTGTTTCTGTTCACCATTAAAACACACACAAACATTTGCTCCTGCTTCTTTAATTGTTATTGCTTCCTCGCTTCTCCCTCTATGGTCACGAATAAGGCAATAATTACACTGACACACACAAACGCATGCACGCACACCCCCCCCCAACATACTCATAGCACTCTTATCAGATCATAATCTTGTGTCTCCAAAGTGTCTAGCTACCAGAAACTGAAATAAGTTAATAATATTTTGTTCATTGTTTATTTGGGGATTTTATTTTTAAAGGATTATTGGGAAATTTAATGAGCTTAAAGAGACGAAAACACAAAAGTCAACCAAAAACAGAGATGCAATGTTTTCACTTGGTAACAACGATACACACATTTTGTAATCACCATAGCGACCGGAACCAGCTGCACTTTACTCAAGGTACAAAGATGGTCAGTGATAGCAGTAAACATAAAATAAGTTTTTATGATTGTGTGATTGATTATTAATTATCTGTATCAGGGCAAATGGGGAGAAGACGGTCTAAAAATGTTAATGTGGCATCATGAACGAATTCAACCTCTGAATTCAGCTTTTTTACTGAGAGATAAGTCAAGTTTTACAAGATAAATCATATTCTAATTGTGTGTTTCACAGTGAACATGAGGCAGAATAACTTCTGCTCTCAAGTAAATATTATTTTATCTATTGAAATGCACCAAATCTGTTATGTTATTCTATTATTAAATGTATGTTTTGTATTGTTCAACAGGGAGTTTTTCTGTGTCTTAATTATTGTGTGTGTGGTTTAATTAAACGATGGCAAGCGTTACTATTTTAGTACACTGTAACCAAGAGGACACCTTATGGCTTGGGTGGGGATGCTGCACAGAAGGGTGTGTTGTTATGTTGTTGTGTCTGCAGACAGAGGTTATCCCATCATTCGTGCTCCGGTGGAATCCAATAGAAGCCCTCTAGGAATGCTGGGAACTTGTCCATCTCATTCCTCGGCCTCAACAACGACCAGAAGCTCCTGACACATTTTGTTTATAACAGCCGTAGGAATTAAATTGTTTGGATTATGTGTAATGGCATTGAGGATATGTGATATGAATGTGTGGAAAGTCTGACACAAGCCTGGAGAGAAGCACCTCATAACAGCCGCCCACTGTAAACACGCTGCTGTGTAGTTAACAGCGTGACGGGTAAAAACTTTCTGACACACAAATACAGCCGTATCTATTTGGATAAAACTTTGAATCATGCATTTTTACACAAGCTCAGTAGCTGTCATGATTTAACCACCCCCACCTCTGGAAAGGGATTATTGCCCACATGAAGTAAAACCTAAGACCTACAAACCTGTAAATACAGAATAAATGCAAACAAGACTAAGAGTCTAGACACAAAAGCAGCTCTGTGAGGCTGTAGTTAGGCACAGTTACGCTTTGAGATAAGTCCTGTTGTATTTATTTGGTTTGTGCTGGTTGGTTATGGACCCTTAAGTTGACTGCCCTGCTTTGTAGCATTTGTCTCAGTTAGTACAGTGTAAATGCAAGTCAGGTTAATGTTGAATTTTATCCTGAAGAAAAGAAGTTCATGTTGAATTTCATTGGTAAGTGTTATAAATGTGCAGCTTCCCCCTTTTTTTCGAGTTAAGTGCTACCATTAACCTGCTAACATGCTGATGTTTAGCTCAAGGGCGTAGGTTTGCATATGGACGGTAGGGACATGTCCCTACCCTAGGGACATGTCCCTACCAATATTTGTATATTATATGTAATATATATGTTTGGAGTGAAGTCATATTAGGTCATTCCAATGAGCCCTCCAAGAGGCTGCGTCTCCGAGACAAAGCATGGAGACGGGGATGCAAGGATTTAGGCATGCTATGTGAAGGCTCACGTCATGTGAGAATATCACAGTGGTACCTAACATTACCAGAAAAATGTCAGCTGATTTTATTTAACCATGTTAGCTAGCGTTGACTAGCAAGCTAACCCTGGTTTCTGTCTTCTGTAGGATAGCAGTCAGGTTGTAAAAATAAAATGCTGGATATATCAAAGGATGAGTTTAATTTCAGTTGAAAAATCCAAAGAAAATGTCACTATGAATACTATGACTTTTCTTACACCAAACTATACTATGACGTCTTTATACCTTACTATGATTTTTTATGACCTTTTATGCCCTACTATACTATGAATTTTAATGCCTTAATATACTATGACTTATGACATATATATGACATATATGTCCCTATATCAAGAGCAATGTTACCATATATGTCACCTATAAGAGGATATATTATTATGACATATATACATCCTGGATCACTGGATATTTGAATAATTAAGTTTATACATAAATATATGAAATACTCATAGTAAAATGCAAATTTATTAAAACAGAATGCCTGTTAAATTTCTACGGTATTCAGATGCCTTTTCCAAATTTCATGTGAAACTATCCAACAGGTATCGATCCATCTCCCTCAAAACCATAAATATTGTCCTGATGAAAAGTCAGGGGGTTAAAGTCAGTAGCCTGCTCCTCTAGCTAACATGAACGTCTGTAAATCCCGTGGCAATCTTTTCAATGGTTATTGAGATATTTCAGTCTGGACCAAAGTGGTTGACCAAATGACAGACCAACCTTACCGTATCTACAGCCATGCCATTAGCATGGCTAACAAAAATAACACCGAAGATGAACCAGCGTTACGCAGCAAAACAAATGTGTACATGGTACACGTGGACATTTTGTTTTGTTAAAGGACACGCAAGGCTGCAGCTTAGTGGGGCTTCCACCAACCACATTACTCACTGTATGAGTAACCTACTATTACTTATGCAGTAATTAGGTAATAGCAATTACCTCTAATGAGTACACTGTGGAGATCATAGCAGCATTTCCTGAACTTCGGATATGTTTATCCATGGGTTTTATATTTAGAACAAAATGGACAACACTAAGTGGGTGTGTTTGTGGGTCTCTGTGTGTGTAAGTGCATTCTTATGTGTTTCTACACATGCCTTAAACAGAGCAGCGCCTGCCGGTGAGTTAATGTTTATGTGTGATCACTGCTGTTCATTAGCATAGAGGACATATAACGATGCCTCGGTCAGGTGTTAAAAATGGCTCATTGACTCTGGTTGAAGCACTAATGACGGTGCAAAGCTAAAATGGTGTTATTGATTAACTTGACACCAGACACTGCTTTCAGTGGGTCACATGATGATGCCGCAAACATACAGCATTTCTTTGCGTTATATAAGCTTAGAACAACGCTGCAACAATTTGTCATGTTTTATCTTGCAAAGAATTATTATTATTTTGCATTTATAAGCAGTACATCAACATTTGATATTTGTTTACAACTCATTATAACTTAGTTTAAAGCAGATACAAGTGTTTATTAATATATTGTCAACAGTCATAACTCCTCTTGTGGACACTCATAAGTGGAGGCTGCTATAAACAGATATTAATTTAATGACAATATAGTAATACAGAGTTGTAAAAGTGGAGCTGTTCTATAAACAGATATTAATATAATGACAATATTGTAATACACAGTTGTAAATTATAAGATATGTCTTCATAGGAAAAGTTACAATTGTTGAAAAATACTGAACATTAATAGAATGTGTTTACACCATTTGTTAAATTTTTTATATCAAAATAAAGTGTTACCCAATGTTCCTCTGAACTGTAAAAGAGAACATAAAATGAAAGAGTCATAAAACAGGATAGTTTTCATTTTATAATCCTAGTGTCATTAGTGTTTAATCAGAGGGATCAGGGTATCGGCTATGCTTATTGTTTTGCACGCAGTCTCTGTGCACCACGCTTGTGTGAGTACCACCATGAATCATCGATCCTCATAATGTAAAGGTAAAGGTGACTCTGCTGTCTAATAAACACCCATTCACAGATTCTTTCATCCATCCATCCATATCATTATTTTGGGTGTGTACAGGAACGTGTGCAGTTTACTGTCATCAAAGTTCTTAAAGTCATTAAAACTGTTAAACAGTTTGCTTACAAATCCTTTAAACCTGCTACTAACCAGCCATATTCACCAACCTCCTAGAGAAGAGTTAACCTGGTTTTCTGGTGACTTCCAAATAATTTGTCTTTTGTAATAATTTTTACAAACGATAACATTTTGTTATGATGCAGGTAGGTTGAGGTATGCTATTCTTTCCCACCGCTACCACCATGTGCCAAGTCTTATACAGAAAAAAAGTGCTACAGATAAAAGTTTTCCTTCCTCTGTTAGCCAGCGGTAGGCCTACATGTTTGGTTTATTACGTGACAGCGAGCCAGCATGCACAACACCAGGGCCCGGAACTGTGAATCACATACAGCTGTCGTAATCATGTCTGCTGAAACAGATCTAAAGAGGCGCTGTGAGTCTTAAAGCAGAGCTCTAACTAAAGGAGCTCCAGTCTGAGATTACACATACTGTCCCCCAGTAACCTCCATTTGGAAACTTATCTTACTTACCAGATCATTCACTTTTACTAACTTTAAAAAGTTACTCAGTAGACCAATATTTTGAAAATATTGTTGTGAAAAGGACAAATGAATATGTACTTGATACTGATATAAATTCAAAATAAAAATTCACACACACACCAGAAAAGGTCGACAGTTGAAAGTCAGTAATCAAATTAAAGAAGTGTAAAATGGAAGAGGACAAGCTGCACATTTGAAATGCATTTGCTTTAATTTATATTTTATAAAACATGTTTGTACAGCTAATACTACTATTGCAAAAATGTCATATAATAAAGTTACAGTCATTGTGCAGCAGATGGTGATCAACTGTGCGGTACAGAGAGATATTTGATCACATTGATCACGTGGAGGAAAAATGTGAAAACTGCACAGAGACTTGAGACTCTCAGCTGTGGCCTTCACACAGTGATGAAGAACGAACAGGCGGCATAAAAAGAAATTCATACAGGACCGTACAAAAAAAAATTCAAGCTGTATTCATGTTTGTAGCAGTAACAGCGCTTCCAGTGTATAAATTAATACTTTCAAATAAATTAGCAAAATGAGAATACTTTCTGACTAAACGAAGACTCAATTAATAAAAAACAGTTACACTCAGTGGCCAGTGATAATGACAACATTGGATAATTCTTAATATTTGTCATAAGTAAAGAAAAAAGGGCACAAAAGCGACAATAAATAAAGGCTAAACAAGGCAGAAATACTAGCTATAACTTAGAAACAAGGTTTAACAAATGATAAAAACTGTGTAAATCGGTGCTTGAGCAAGTAATTGAGAAGAGGGAAGGCAGCTAGACTTCATCAGTTTTCACTTTCAATCAGTTTCATTTTTGTCTCAGACGTTACAAGATCCGAAAACTTGCTCAAGATGAGCTCTTTGAAATCCTGAAATCTCACATTGAGTCTCACGTGAAGGAAGTAAAGCATGACGATATGATTACGATCACTGAAAATCTGGATCTAAACTGTGGCTCTTTAACTGAGAAGCAGCACAGGGAGCTTTACGGACCCAGGCCAGAATTTCTGAAAGCACGGTTCACTGCGTGGGATCAGAAACAGTTTCACTGGTCCACTCTTACCCCTCTTATTGGTTCCTTTTCCATGACCCACTGTCATTATGGGTGGAAACTGCTTTTGTGTGTCTCACTATTTATCTTTTCATACATGAGGGTATGAAACATTAGAGTCAATGCACAAAAAGCTGATTCTTTTAATCTCTATGTGCCAATCTGCGTGTCAATCTGCGTGCTTCAAAGCCTTGTGACGTACAATACTGTGAGCAGGCACAGTCCAGGAAACCAGCCACTGAGTGTAGGCCAATGTAGCGAGTCAGGTCACGTCATGATATGTTGAAATTTTCAGTTAGAAAACTGGAGAAAATCCTGCTGGGGGCGTGTGTGTGACACTTTACACAATCTGGACTCCTCTGTAACCCTGCTGCTTCTGGTGACGTCGGAATCTGTTTTTCTTATACCTGTAAAGATAACACAGTACTTTATTTTTTATTCCAGTTCAAAAGACACTAATCAACTCACTAACTTTGTTTTTCCACCATCCTTAAAAAAAAGCCTTTGAAACCACTTAAATAAAGTCAAAACTGCAGGTTGGTGGAGTTTCAGTGTCCAAGAAATGGCTTTGAGATCATTATCATCCTCCGTGGCTCGACGTGTCCCTGCATGAAACAGGATGTCGGGGCCAGACTTCACGTCATGAGGCTCTTGAATCACACTAAAAATCTATGATCACACTTTATACTGAATTTGCGTGCTACCAAGACAAAAAAAAGAGTTTCAGTGCATGTTGAAAAATGTATTGGATTATAATTGAAAGGCACAAACAGAAAGGCCTTTTTCATTCAACAAAAACTTGAAAATAACCTTCTTTTCATTGCACCTGGGGCCCACATTTGGAAAAGACCAATGGATTATTACTACCTGTGCATTAACATGTGATTAACATTTGGATGTCAACTACTACTATCTGAGCTGATCTGATCCGATCGAACATCCATCTCACTAAGTTATTTATGATGAGAAACATGCCAGTTCCGTTAGATCAGCCTGTTTCTCACAGGAATGAACTTGTTCCAAAAACTTTTTAGATGTTAAAAAATGAACATAAGACTCTTGATGGAAGACAAGTTACAGTTCACTGCTTATTCTATAAAACTCATAAAGACTACAGGTTACTGCAGGTGAATTTATCTCACCTTATTACTAAGAAAAGTAAAAACTGAAGGACTCAATAAAATACAAAAATTACTCGGTAAGATAAATATTTTCAGCATGTAAAATGTGATATAATAAACTCCAGCAGTTGCATGTAGTGCAGTCAACGGAAAAAGCAAATATTTCCCTTTGAAATGCATTGGAAGTATAAAGTAACACATTTTTTGGCAGTGCAGTGTAAACAGGCTGTAAACACCATGTTGACACATCATCAACTTTCAAACTGATACGGCTTATTTACACGTCCAGTAGTTACAGAGCAACATTATCATTCTAAGACCGATACTCGCTCTACTTTTAGCTCCGTGTTTGGTCTGAACCAACCCCTGAGGGAAACATTTGACTCTTTAGCTGCTAAATGCTCCATGATGGTCATCAGCTTGTTGCTAACTGTGTCTGTCTGCTGTCTGGTGTTTACAGTCAGAGGAGAGGGAGTCAAAGTTGGCAGCAAAGCGAGTGTCCCACATTTGGAAAAGGCCAGTTCAAAATGAAAAAAGTGAAGAAATGATTTTGTGTCAAAAACAATGTTGGCTTACTGTCGGATGTCCCAGAATTCCTAGCTACATCCCTAAAATACAGGCACTGATAACAGCGATCCACACCATTCTCAGATAAAGATAAAGTGGTTATTTCCCTTCATATTTCACATACACGTTCAGTCACAGACTAAAGACTTACCATTTGCAGCAGAAGTACAGAACTCCAGCCAGACCTATAATCAGCAGACTCACACAGAAAATGGTTACAATTATCTGTTCATCTCCCATTCGCTGCACGACAAGCTCTGGGTGGGCACACCTGGGGCCATAAAAACCCCTCTCACACCTGCAACACAAAGAGGCGAGTCACACATAATCACACATTAACAGTAAAAGACACACACACACACTCACACACACACACACACACACACTCACACACACACAGGATCGTACTTGCAGTGGTGCTCGTTCATGTCCACCAGCAGCATGCACTGGCCATTGTTCAGGCAGTAGGTGTCAAACTTGCTGTCGCAGCTCTGCGTTGACCGCTTCACCACATGAGGGCGCTCCTCTCCCTGCCCTGAAACAACGACAACAAAGACGGCTGTGAAAAACCTTTTCACTGGCAACGCTGCATCATTTTCACTGAGCGGCACTCTGTTGATGAAAGTGCTCTCATCAGGATCTGAGGCTTGAAGAATCAATAACATGTTTGATATTTTAAATTTCTTTCAGAGCTGCAGCAATTAGTCGATTAATCAGTTGGTCAAATGAAAGAAAATCAATCAGCTCTTATTCTGATAGGCTATTAATCATTTAAGTCGTTTTTCAAGCCAAAACGCAGAAAACATCTGATGGTTGCAGGTTCTCAGATCCAACAATGTGTTGCTTGTCTGGGTTTTACATTGAAGTTAATTTAATAATGTATTCTATTAGATTTAATTTGCTGTACCTCTACCTCCCTTTGTCTGGTTTTATTTGATGATTGTAGAAAGGAAGTGTTTTACCTTTTTCCCCTGTTGCAAAGCACTTTGAAAGGTGTTGTATAAATAGAGTTTAAATCACGCCACATGCCACATTGGATTATACATATTTACACATCAATATAGTTTTTGTTGTTTTGGATATGTATTACAGCACATTCAATCTGAAACGACATAAAATGGTGGAGCTGAAATTTACTGACTTTCAGCTTTAATGGTGTCTGAGGGTCATCACATCTGTATGTTTTCTGCAATATAACTCTCATTAAAAAAAAAAGGGTCTTAAATGCTGCATTTATTTTGAAGCACTGCAAAGTGCTACAACACACACATCTTTACTATTGCTAGACTAAAAATCTAAATACACTATCTACAGTTATCAAGAGCATGATGTCCCATATACTTTACAATACTTGGAATTATGTGTTCGCACTTATTGTGGTCTACTTCTACTACCCTGGAAAATTGCAAATACAATGTTGCTGTGAATACCTGCAGGTAGAGAGGCGCTGTCTGCAGTTTGCAGTCTGGATGAGACACTCTTGGTAAGTACATACGGCCAGAGCAGCATGACACCTGTTGAACAGAGAATACTTGACTCATTAGTTAAACTGGATATAAAGTCAGTTTTGTACGGCAGATTTTTACCCGCCCCGTGGAGGTTGTTGTCTCTGTGGCGTGCCATCCAAACATCCTACTAATATAATCGAAAGGGGTTTGTGTGTGTGTGTGTGTGTGTCCGTGTAACTGCTGTGTGTAGGAAGCAGCTAGGGGAACCTATTTCTTAATGAGGCATTTCAAACCACACCAAGTTTGTCTGTTCTTTTTTCCTTTGTTTGTGAGAAGGCAGAACAAGAAAAGTACAAGCACATGAAAATGAACGAGCCCCCACGTCTTCTCCAGTGGAAACAGAGCCGACAACGTCAACGTTTCTACCGAAGGACATGAGGAAGGACTAACAGACAACAATGCGCATGCAGAGCTACTGTCACCAGCTGTAATTTGGCCACCATTGTCATATCAACTGTCAGCAAATCCTACTAATATCTTTATTCCTACACCATCTTATGACAGTTGAGACACACATTGTAAGACCCAAATGGCGCTTCGTTCTTTCGCTACCTTGATCTCCTCAACACTTGCCTCTATATGTTTAATGACTGGTTCCAAATGGTTTTGATTGTGTCCCTTTAAAATGAAGCCAAGTCTATGCATGACTCCTTGTCACAGGTTTACCTATGAGAGATTATTATCTTGGTCATTTAGTCCACATCACCTGCAAAATGATTTGTGTTTGTCGACTGTGGTTAGCGTTAAGGAAATATTTAGAAATGACACATATGTGGGAAAAAAGAAAAAAAATTTTGCAGATAAACGTCAGATTCCCTGCCAGTTTTTTTTTTTTTTTTTTTTGTGTGTGTGTGTAAACTACCCCACCTAGGACATTACATGGTGTGGCTCGTGTTGCCTGGCCCACATGCCTGTACCAGCCTGCACACCATTATAATGCGTATCATTTGCAGACGCCCACATTCCTGCAGGCAAGACAGAAAAACACAAATCTGGATGCAAGATGCGTCTAGTTATGGCTGGTTATGAATCTGGTTATACTCGCTGTAAAAGCCTGGCTCTGGGTTTCTGTTCCTGCCTGTTGTTATGGCTGCAGAGATATTTTTTCTCTGTTTTCAGTGAGAGGACACAGGATGGTTGTTGGGTGTTTCTGATGTGGCTGATTGGTGTAAATTACACAATACATTTGAGCTGGAAGTGGTGACCAAGCAACTCTTCTGCATCACCATCCAATCAGCCCATTCACATCATTAGCCACTGATTCACTCTAATGATACTAAGGCATGTTATGTTCTCAAGACCCAAGATGGACATCCATGAGAATTAAACTTGTATTTTTCCAACATTTTGTACAATCAGGTTAAACATATATACAAATAAAAACACTCAACTGTTTTTAAAGGGTAAAGGTAAGAAGGAAAACAACAAACCTGCAGTACAGTATATGACCCACATGATCGAGAGCAGTGAGAGGAACAGTTTTCATTGTTAAACTGGATGGATTACCTATTAATCACAAAACTCTGTCAAAATGAACCCGGACTGAATTACTGCAAAACTCTGAGGTGGTTTATTTATTTAAAAAAAAAAATCCTAATGAAAAATAATAACATTAATATTTCTATCAGGACACTTGCAGTGATTGTGTTTGTTTGTCTCACAGTGTTGGAAAGTAACTAAATATATTTGCTGAATTACTGCCCTGAAGTAGAAGACTGAGGTTCCTGTACTTTACTTGAATATTTCCATTATCTGTTACTTTACTTCAGTGAATGTAAAGATTATAGAAAAGAAAAATGCAATACAAAACAGAACAAATTAGGGCTGCAGAACTAAAAATAGCTCCACATAGACTCGTATCTGTCACCTTTCTGTAGAACAAGTACTTTTACTTTCATACTTAAAGTATATTTCATTGATAAATGAAGGAGTTTGACTTGTACTGGAGTATTTTCACATTGTTATATTGGTGGTCAGGTAAAGGATCTGAGCACTTCCTCCACTACTGGGTACTCAACAGCCAGAATATATTATTTCCTGCTCAAGTTTGTTATATGATTTTTTGGTGTTAAGAATTAACCTGAACAACAAGTAGGCTAAATGACAGATTTAATCAGACCACATGCGCTTTCAAATAATAAGTCTTCCATTCATAGTTTATTTGCCAACATCCCTCAGCATCCCTCAGGCTCTGGGCTCAGCATGGGCGTCAGCTCATTAACACAGGTATGTGGCAAAGTCCTTCATCTGACTCCATAACTTCCACTCAGGTCCATTTCTGAAATGACTTGTAAAGGATGAGGCAAACATCAAAGTTAACAAGTGGTAGAATGACCAGGTAGAATCCCATGTAAAATAAAAGTATTAAAAAAAAAAATACTAGCTGGGATTTTGAAGTTATAACTGACCCATTTCTATAATATAAACTGCTGCAATACCTTTATCTCCTAAATATAGGTATGTTCATGCTTCCTGTCCAGATAAAGGATTAGATGTAAAGGTTAAGAAATTATGACATTAGCTACTTTTTTCCAGTTTTTTTCAAGCTGGTGTAAAAAGCAACTAAGTACATTTATCCAAATAATGCACTAGTATTTCCATTTTTTACTTTTTCCTGAGTACTTGTATTAGTGTATTTTTACACTGTGGCATTGTGACTTTTATGTTGCAAGGTACAAAGTAGCTGTAGTGAGTAGCTGTCGGATAAATGTAACGGACAAAAACACAGTTGAATATAAGTATAATGTCTGAGTACTCAAAAAATACTCCAATACAAGTAAAAATCCTACATTCAAAATATGCCTAAATAATACAATCACCTTCAAGAATCTAAAGTAAAAGTACTTTATTCCTTCTGCATAAAAAATGTACCATGTGTTATATTATGATACAGGATTATTGTTTAAGAGGCATTTTAACTTTCATTCTATTTCAAGAGGGATCCAGTTTAATACTGTTTAATCTAATGCATTGTTTTTTTATAAACTCATATTATGTTTTATAAAAAATCTTTACCTGAAAAGCAACAAGTAACTAAAGCTGTTAAATAAATGTAGCGCAGAGAAAAGTAGGACTACGGTATTTTTTGTAAATACAATAATGGAGAGGAATAAAGGAGCAAGACAAATCCTCAGTAAAATACCAGCATTTGAAAACTGCACGTTAGTAACTGTGTGAATGCACTTAGCTAGTTTTGAGTTCAGTAGCTTTCAGTGGCTTTAATGTCTTTTAAATCAACAGGTCACATCACATGTTAAACATGTTAAACTAAGTACGTGGCGCTGATTTCATCCCATTAAAACATTAAAGAAAACTCAACTCACCGATGAGTGAGAGCAGCGCTGAAGCTTTGCTGTTCCCCATTTCAGCAGGTACAGGTGGTCGACAGGATCGAGGCTCGGCGGTGCAGGTTCACCTACAGAGGGATGAGCTGGTCTGGATAAGAGACGCTTCCGACCTGACACAGTAATTACTGGGTAAAGAGGCAGGCGATGCCTCTCCTGGCGAAGACAAACGGGAAGCCAATGGGCTCAGTCCTGCACTCTGGGTGTGGTGACACATTCCTGTGATTTAGATAATTTCCGACTTTAAATTAAAAAAAAAGACAGATTCTGCAGGCAACACGACATCTGAAGGAGGAGCTGCTTCTCTTCCCGGCTCCCTTCAGATGGAAGTCCAGCCGTTACTTAAAAACAGTTACCGCAGTTTAATTTAGCCTAAAATATACTTATCATACCTATCAAAAGAAAAATGCAGTTATTATACAGCAGAGTGGCTCATGCCAGAATTGTGGGCTTCTGTTAAATATTATAGGCCTACTAAAGGCATAAGCGTAACAATGCATTATATTTTACAAACTCATGTGTTTCGTTTGAAAAAAATTGGTCCATAAAGTAATAAAGTAAATAGCTGAGAAAAAATTGTAGCACAGTACAAGGTATCTGAAATGAGCAGCCTATAGCATAAAATGGAAAAACTCAAGTATTTCAAATATATCAAAATACAGTATTAAAGTAGTATCCTACAATATATATTATTTATCAATCTTTTTCCACAGATGTGGTTTAACCTAAGATACCTGTAATACTACTAATAATAAGTTTTTATTATCAACACTTTGACTTTAATAACTTCAACTGTCGTTGTTTTGTTTTGTGATTATCATTGTGGCATGATGTGTGCTCTGTGTTTACATGTCTTTATTGTTTTCCCATGTGTTTTATCTGATTTTATTCTATTTCATTAACTTGTGTTAGTTAAATGTGTTAAATCACATTGTTCTTTTATTACTCCTCTGTATTATTACAGCCAAGTGTGTCACACCAGAGATGTTACTATTCTTTATTATTATTATTATATTTATATATTATATTTTATATTTATATTTTCCTAAATGGTAACTACAGTATCCTTTTCTAAAATAAAAATGCTTCTTGAGCCTCACAATTAGACAACCAGTTAATTAATAATAACAATTTAAGTATGAAGTTATCAATAAGATGTGTTTGTGTTTATTCACCTTTTACCCACAGTAATTCAAGAAACATATCAATATTCAATTTATGAATTTATTACAAAACTTTAAATAAACACTTTCAATAAGTTAGTTGCTATATTACAATAAATAGGAACATTTTCTCTCCCTCAGTCTCAGTCCCTGTTCAATATAAAAGGCCCAACCAGGTCTGACACAGTTCAGTCTTTTCATTTCAGAGCATCTGCTTGTTTGAATGATGCAGTGGTCTTCTTTATGCACATCAAATGAAAAAGTCCAATAAAGTACAGAAAGCTTTTTAGAGACTCATAATTGCTTTGTGCGTCATTACTGACAATAGTGGTGAGAATGATGAAAAGGATGATGATGATGATGAAGAGGAGGAGGAGGAGGAACAATGGGTTGATTCATACTGATGTCTTAGATGGTGCAGATTTTATTAGTGGTGGTGATTTAATACATCTGGAAAAAGAGAAAAAACATCTGTATTAGAATTTCAATGCGTTTTTGAACCAACACTTAAAAATGTAAACTTATAATTGCAAATACACAAAAGTGGAAAGTAACAATGTAATTTGAGTCTAAACTGTAACAACTGTAAGAAACACGTCTGAAAACACTGGAAATCCATCATTGTGTTTGATGTAAAAACAAAACCCAGAAAAGCTTGGCTGACTGACTCATTAAGGCAAGCCCAACAGAAGAGTGCTGGGTCCAGAGAGTAAACAAATAAATAAGTAAATAATCCAGAGCAAAGCTGAATATTTTTGATTTTTGATTTGAAATGTCAGAGAAAGAAAGACAGAAAGAAAGACCTATACCACAGTAGATACTCACCTCCTTTGGGCAAAGCAGTAAATCATGATGGCCAGGATAATGATGAGCATGACGACACCAAAACTGATACCGATCAGTTGCTCTAACTCAGGCAGAGAGTACGTGTGGTCACTGAAGAAAAGGCAGCGAGTCCCGCTGTAGGAGGACGTGCAGCTGGGGACCAGACAGGCAAATATGTGAGTGCATTCCAGGGGTGAACACGAACAGACATGTGCATGTGGATATGAAGCATAGTTTTTACTGATTATAACTAAAACATATTCAGGATACATAAGGCAGCTCTGTAGAGGGTGTGTGTGTGCGTGCGTGTGTGTGTGTGTGATAACACTAGATCTTACATGCAAAAAGGTTTGTCACTGTCTTGGGGGTACATGCACTCGCCACCATTTTCACAGTAATTTTCATGTTCGCTTCCACAGGATCTGTGTGAGCGCAGCACTAGAGGTTCGTCCATACTGCCTGCAGAGAGAAACAGTGGCATCATAATCAATGATCACATTTCATGACAAAAGTATGAAGGGCCTATTCGTGCCACAAATTCAAATTTTCTTTAAAAAGGGATTGAGGAATATATTTTTCATTTGTCTGCTTTTCATTTTCTCTTTGAAGCAGGAGGTGGGACCCATACTGGCTTGATTAATCAATTCTTAATTGAGTGACACAATCTGGCCCCCACAGAGACCAGCATCCTCCACACAGACTTCCACGTAGTCTCATTGTAGTCCAGAAAATGTATGTTTTTTGTTTTTGTTTATTTGAAGATGGATCTCAAATCTTTGGGACTTTTTGGGCTCCTTAGAAGTCAGCTATCTTTCCACATCTGGGTGCGACGCTGTGGGCTACGGTTTCACACTGACACAAACGCCACTGAAGACACTTACTGTTGTTGAGCTCTGTGGCGAGAGATGCATTTGACAGGAGAGGAGTCGCTGTGGTCTGGAGGTTGTCAGTCACAACTGCAGATTGTCCCGCTGTGGTCAGGAGAAGCAGCACTGCCACTGCTGAGTGCAGGGCTGGAAAACATGGAGTCAAATTATAGAAAACATTCATTTAGATGATTAGAAAAGGTTTATTTTATTTTTGCTCCTTGTGCTGCAAAACTTGTTGATTTCTTGTAAATATTCTTCCTTTACAAATACTGTGGTTCTGTCACTCTAAAACAACTCGGTATAACCTCTATTTACATCACACAAACACCATGTTCCAATTGCTTTGCTATAATCAAGGATTATTAATCGCACATTGCATTCCTAAATAAAATATTTGAAATTTGACAAGTCAGAATAAACTCGACACTTACCCTTCTCCAGGTACGTCTGTCTTTGTGCAAACATCTTCTTTCCTGCTGGTGTGACGTCTGATGTTATGGGCTCGACTCCTTCTGCCTGAGAGGTGTGATCAACAGCAGGTTTTTGCTGAGCTTATATACTGAACTGCCAGCCAGTGAAAGGATTTAAACAGCCAATCAACAAACTAAAAAGTGTTGTGAAAAATGAGAAGCATTTCCTTCCAAAAAAAAAAAAATCCATCTGCATCATTTCCTTTATTTGCAGCGACTCTCTGCGTGCAGAGACAAAGTCTAAAGGCTTGTTGATGGTGGTGGAGGCACGTTATTACCCACAGGCTCTTTAAGTGTAGTTTCTTCTTTGGAAGCCTCTGAACCCACGCATGCCCTTGGCAGGTTTCGCTCAAATGCTTCCTTTGCAGTTTTGTCAGGTTGCTTCATTGACAGTTACGAGTGTTGTGAAAGCGTCAATTTTCTCAAAAGGTATCATTACAAAAGGAAGTTTTTGACCATTTTTTTTTTTTTCCTTCCTCTAATTTAATGTATGACAGGTGACAAGATTGATACTGATTGATACTGATTGGCAGCCAATGGTCAGATATCCAGGGCAGAGAAAGGTTTACCAACAGGTTCTCCCCACGGATGATTTCCTTCCACTGCATTTTGCCAGTAAGAAGCTGGTGATGGCTCATATTGTGTCACTTCATCAGCCACTTGTACTGGGTGGTCAGGGCGTCTGGGAGGAACTGGGAGGTGGGATCTGGTCATGATGGGGGGGGGGCCTCTTTACGCATGAAGTTCCTCAGTGTCAAGTGAAAAGAACAGACTGTTGACTTCATAAAACAAGACAAGAGTCCTCAGCCATGCTAGTGGCTCCGTGAGGCTGTGCTTACATCACAACCATGCCAGATTGGAGTTTTTCCAGCTCGTAAATAGCATTCATGTCAATATCCAAGTTGTAATTATGACTGGGAGAGACTTTTCTCTAATAACTCTTGGCACTTACTAATACAAAAGAACCTGAAAATCAAGGAAACATGGATACCTAATGTCAGCAGGTGTAATGAAACCCAAATTGAGGATGTATTTTCACTCTGTTAATACAGTGTTTCAACCAGCATCGTCATTGTGAGCATGGTAGCCGACAGTGACAATGCTGATATGCTAAAGTCATGTGTTGTGTGTATATTAATGTCTTGTTTTAACATGTTAGCGTGCTAACATTTGCTAATCACCGCAGAGAAGAAAGCACAGCTGAGGTTGATGGAAACACCTGAACATTTGAAGACATTTGGTCATAAACCAAATTATTGTGATTAGGATTCAGCCTCTGGCATCCATGACAATCCCATCCAAAAGTATTTAAGATATTCCGGTCTGCACCAAAGCAGTGGACTGACAGATCAATGTCAGTAAGAACTGGGAAAGTTTTTCTTTCCAGCGTTTCCCCGGCTCAGATACATTGAGGGTAATCGTGTTAGTAGCTCGCTGTGCTGCTCATGACAGTGTCTTCTTTAATATCAATACCAGGAGTTGTCTGAAACTGTCGAAGCTGCGTATGCTTCGGCTTCGCAATGCATTTTTACACAGAACGAAGCCTGTGGATTTCGTCATTTGTTGGCATATGAGTATTGTTTTAAGACAGACTTAAGAAAACACGTCAAACTAAGAGAAAGAAAGTGAGTTTGTGGTACTGGCACAGCATTGTTTTTTTATTTAATATTCCTTTTCCAGTGAATCTGGATGTTCAAAAATGAACCAAAACGACTTCAGTAGAAAAAATATGAATCTAAATTCTCAAAAAGTGAATTCTGAAATAAATAACTTAAACAAATAAATGAACAAATTCACAATATAAACAAATTACATATCAAGTAAGTTTCCCAGCAGGTATGGAGACTTGAGCTCATGGAATTTTAAATAAAAGTGTGTTAGATGTTTGGCAAGGTGTGTGTGTGTGTGTGTGTGTGTGTGTGTGTGTGTGTGTGTGTATACCTAAATAAAATGATGCATCTATATATGTGTGTATATATGCATATACTGTTTGTACCATATAGCATCCATTGAAATGAATGTCTTCATACTGTGTCTGTGTTTAATGCATCAGGGCGTTTCTGGCAGCAGTCACAGTGTTCTTCATCAGCATGGCGACTGTCATGGGACCCACGCCTCCGGGAACAGGGGTGATGACACCTGCTTTCTCCTTCACTCCTACAAGTCAAACAGTTGACTTGGAGTTAAAGGACATTTTTTTTATTCCAGGAACCCGATCTAAGATTAACATTATTTCTGTGGAACAACATTACAAGCGGTTAAGTCTAGATCTCAGGAATCCTAATTATCCGCCAGCGTTGAGAAACCTGCCAAGTGTGTTTCGGTCACATTGATATATTTTCACAAGGATAAAAAGGTAAAACAAATGATAAGCGGTTTGAAAGTTTGATATAATGCACCAGTTTTGTGAGGTAAGAAAATTTGAATATTGCTGTTGTTCAACAACGCTGTTTTAGAAAATACATAAAAAAGGTGCAGTTTTTATTATAATGAACTTTGTGATTATTTACCCTCAAAGTCCACATCACCAATGAGCCGCACTTTCCCCGTGTTCGGGTCCTGGATGCGATTAATGCCCACATCGATGACTGCTGCGCCTTCTTTCACCATATCTGCTGTGATCAGCCCGGGAACACCTATTCACAGAAACCAAGGACAAGGTTTACCGTTAGAAGACAATATGATGCTGAATGAACTGTTGCAGGAAATATGAAGATTATTCCTAGAGAATTACATGGCCCCAGGTTTTGTAAATGACCCACATCAGGAGCAAAATAAAAGGGCTGCAGGTTTTGGTTTTGCTAAATTATCCTATCAAAGTCTCTGAACAGGAGGCTGTCTTTTCCTTTCAGCAGCAATGCTTGTCATCTCCTTTTAATCACTCTTTCTAGTGTGCCTCATCTTGATGAGCAGAATAACATGACAACTCAGCTGACTGTCTATGAGGAAGGAAATAATTAAGCATTTATTTTGACAACTTCTCTGCTTTGCCACAAAATTGCCCAGTTTAGCTCCTCAGACAGCAATTATATGTGCTCAAGAATGACATCAGGTCTGAGCCAAATGAAGATTAAGTGCCAGGTTTAACGGTAGAAAATACCTCTGCTCATGTAAAGCACTCAGTCACGCCAACCCCAAACTACACCCTCTGCCTAATAATCTACTAACTGGAATTACAGCATGTTCCACAACAATTTAATCCCCAACATACACTTGATTTTCAAGCCAAACGCGTGCTAATTCCCAGGTGACATTAAAACAGCTCAATGGCTGGAGGTTCACTTAATCATATTGAGTGCACATGCCAATTTCTTACTTCTAAAATGGAAACCTAACAACTGAATGAAAAGAAAAGGAGGTGTTCCTCCCAGAAAGCTACTTTTAGTCATCAGGGAAAACAGCTCATTCAACAACATGACACCCCTTTAAGGCATTATGTTACAGAAGAGTTTCCCAACAGATATTGCTCCCCTGCATTGATTGATGATCCCACATTCCAGCTACCACAGATCGCTATTGTTCTACAAGACAGCTGCCATCAGTGACCACAGATGGGGCAGAGTACCAGGTAAATATACTGGGACTTCAGTGTTGATTATTTAACAAGAAAACTTCAAGTAAGGGCTGGTTAGCACTTTCACAATCATTCCTCCTCCTTGCATTACTGGGCCACATAATCCATGGTACGGCAGTTCCAACATAATGAAAAGGAATCTGCCCGTGGTTTAAGGAGTGTACACTTGAGGCAAGAGCCAAATAAGTTTTGGAGTGATCACACACATTTTAAACTCTCCACTTGAACGATATGAGCTAGTCCAGTTGTTTGAAAGTGAAAACAAAGATGAGTGATACAGTTATTCCTCAGACTGCATGTTGTAAATGTGAATTTGATTTTGCAGAGTGACCACATGGTTCATCTTTGACCCAATGTGCTCATTGTAGTTGTGATCAGAACACAGTGGACAACTATAATGGGCAAGACTGGGCTTCTTGTAAAGCACAGACATTTATATTAACTGACTCCATTTAAACTGCCTTGTAATTATCACATTTTAATATGGATTAAATGCATAAAAATCCACCCAGATGATCTTCCGTAAAACAACTTCATGATCCTGTGAAATACAGTGGAATATACTGAGCAATATGCATCATCGACATGACTGCCAAATACAACAATTTATCAGTCAATCAAAAATTTAATTAGCAACTATTGTGAAAAATCGATTAATCCTTTCAGGACTTTCATTTAATCAATACTGACAAAAATTGTTAGTTGCAGCCCAAAAGTGAACTGATACATGGTGAGACCCTCTGTATGATTCTGTATTATTAATCAATCTGAAAGACTCAGAATGAGATATGTCACTTCAGTAATTGGTTCTTGAATTGTGAAATAACAGGCAGGAATTAGCCTAACTGGTGTCTGGGTTGTAATTACCTGCAGCTGCAATAATGATGTCAGCCAGGCTGGTGAGCTCCTTCAGCCGCTCCCTCGGTGTACATCTGTGGGCAATGGTCACTGTGGCATCACCTGAGCGGAAACAGGACTTTTTTTGGTTCGGTTCATCCATATAAAACAAAATACATTTTCTCACTTACCTTAAAAGGTGTCGAACCCTGCAGATAAATTTGCTTTTATGTGCCAAAGTTTTGAGATGTGTGGAATTTGGAGTTCCTTACATCTCAAGCAACAATCCCCTTTGAAAACGGCCGACAGTGACAGTGTCAATTTCTTTCAGCGTTTTCTGAGGCGTGCCTCATCTAAAGCTAAGACAACTTCTGCTGACGTCAGACTATCTTATTGCACTTTCATAAAATATAACATTAAGCCTCAGGAGGAAAAGAGCAGAGGCACTAAATCACACAAAAGGCCTCTTATATTAAAGAGTGAGGACCGTCATCTATGTACTTCAAGTTTATCAAGTTAATCAAGTTTATCAAGTTTATCAGTATTTTCTAAATTTGACAAGCTCCAGTTTATAAAATAGCTGCTGTTTAATTTAGTTCATATAATTTACTACCATCAAAACATGTTTTAAAGTACCAGACAAAAACTAAAACTCAATCAAGATTATGTAACATTTCAACTCTTCAGAGCCTGTTGATGAATATTACAAGTGGACCACAAGAAAGTTTTACATTTTATTTGATTTATGATTTATTTGTCTTCATGCTTTACTACAACTATGTTATTCATTCTGTCTGTTTTCAGATAAGTTAAACAGGAGGTAATAGTGATTGATCGATCACACGTCATGGTCACTTTGCGGTGAATAGTCAGAGAACAGAAGTTTATTCACCTCTATTGTATCACACAGGCGGGACAGGCTTCCAAGGAAGATGTCTCAAAATCTAAATATGTTAAACCTGCATTTTTTTTTTCATGGTCCAACATGATGGAAGTATGTGAGAAAAAAAAATGAATGTATTTTGGGTGAACTGTCCCATTAAGTATATAAATGTGTGTAGGCTGTTTTTGCTCATCAACAGTTGAATCTGCTGTGGTCATGCAACTCCACATCAAAAGCATTCTTCAGTGCACTAAGTGGCGAGCAATGTTGGGGTGTTTGTACGAGTAATTGCACAATGAAGACAAGAAAACATGACGATAGTAACACTAATCTTTATGTAGGATGAGTGAGGACATCCTGCACAGACTTAAGTGAACTGTGACCCGGAGTACAGGTGTGGAGGGAGAGAGAGATGATCAAACAAGAGGGCTTCTAGGAAGATAAGAATGAGAGGGAAGAAAAGGCAAGTCACAGCACATCAAACCTGTAGATCACATACCTAGTAGGATGTGGGATGTGTGTGTGTGTGTGTGTGTGTGTGTGTGTGTGTGTGTGTGTGTGTGTGTGTGTGTGTGTGTGTGTGTGTGTGTGTGTGAGAGGGAGGGAGAAAGAAAGAGAGAAAAAAGAAGAGAACTGACCCATTAAATTAACTCACTGAAACTCAAAAAAATAAAATAAAATGATAAAATTGATCACAGAAACTTTTAGAATATTTATAAGTTTGAAGCTCCATCAGCTGTGTGTCCTTGTCATTGTGTGTTGGTGCACATTCGGTTACTCTGCTACACAACCTTCTCTCTCAAGGAACAGTGGAGTGTAACAGGCCCAGTTTCTAACATGCACAAGATTCCACTTCACTGACACAATCCGAAATAAAATGCAAACAAAGACTGAAATCTTTAATAATCCAATATATCCAATATATATGATATTTTGATGTGCTTTCACTTGTTGGTTTTCAATTCAATAAAATGCATGGGTTAAGTTATGAGTGATAACATGACGGTTAGATATTATCCAAGTAAACTTAGTGTGTTGACAACTGTTTCTTTCAAATAATCACAAAGAATGTGATCGCTTCAAAGGGGCCATGGACACTCAGCGTGCTCGACATTATACGCTTTAGCAGTGAAAAATGTATCTTTGAAAGCACTCCTTTTTAATGTCAAATAAGCACCTTGAATCCTTGAAAAAATAGTGTCCCGTCAACCCCCTGGTCTATGATATATACACTATGACCACTTCAGTTCCAGCCAGGGACTCATTTGTCCCACTTTCACTTCATGATTTCTGCCCCGCTCTACTATCAAGAATATTACGAAGGGGAAATGCCACATTAAGAACATGAAAATACAAACAATAGACGAAATATAAGGAGAGAGTAGAAGCAATGATCTCGACGTGTCCTCAGTGGCTCTTATCAGATTTTTCGGTTATAAAGATACACTGCGTTGGCTGATTTCTTGTGACTCATATACTCTAAAGGGCAACACACATTCACGGTACATGATGTGCATCAAAACAGCCACACCAATTGTTTCGCATCATGCCACGATGACACAGGTCAGTGCATTAGCTGCTCTTTTCCCTCATTACACATCAACTTAACAGAAACGCAACAATATTATCACATTCACCACACTGGCATATCCTGACTACCACACCTTGACTACTTTCTCTGGGTGTATGATGCTTCTGGTGTGTGTTATGGGTGTGTGTTGCACTTGACTGAGGAGGCTGGGAGCTGGTTTCACCAGCTGTTTTTAAGTTCACATTTAGCAGTTCTACCAAAAACGGTTACTAAATCTAGTTTCACGCGTCACTAAATTAAAACACACAAACTAATTCTTATGTAGAGATTAGTTGTTGCTGAAGATTTGTACCTGCCAGGTGTAAGTGCTGTTTAGCTAACTAGCTAACTGAACTACCGCCAAAACAAATTATGTTGCTAACTCGGTTAGTGTGAAGAGCAAAAGAGGAACAACCAAAAGTGTTTTCATTTGTTGCTATTGTTGATCTGTTTCTGACTTGGCATCATGTGCATCTATCACCTTTCAGGTGTGCAACAAGACACTTTCCCCAGTGATGCATCTCATATTTGCACAGCTGAAATGTCTTGTACTTTTAGGAGCATTTACTCAGGGGCAGAGACTTGAGTGAACTTTTGTTTGCATGCATGATACTAAGCTATTTACACTTCTGTGATAATCGACCTGCAATACTGCTATTCTTTGACAGGTCAAACATATCTTGTTTCTTCATCTAAGCAGTACATTCCATGCAATGCCTTTCCAACCCCTCCTTTCTTCCTGCAACCCTTATAAGGAAAGCTGATCCATCCTTTAGTAGAGCACAATGCCAAAAGTCTCGCCCAGTGCTTTTCCTACACACTCCCTTGTTTTTTTCCTTCCTGAACTCCTCCAGCAGGATGTGTATCAGCATTTATTGTTTGATTTCCTAGGTGAGGAGTCGTTAAAACTTTAATTTATTGATCACATCCTGATAAAATTCCAATGCATCAAACATCCTTCAGGGAAAGCCAGGATGGTGCAACATCATTTGCCTACAAAGAACACCACTGCAACCACATTACACAACTCACACACACACGCACACATGCACACATGCACGCCCACTCACCTCCAGGGCGTTCATGGTTGCGATCAGTGTGCAGCAACATTGCGATGGGCATTCCAACGTTTTTGGAGCGACCAGCAACCAGCACATTCTTCCCAACTGTCTCAATACCTGAAAACACAGGGGAAAATTTTTTAATAAATATGTCTGACTGAAGAGAGTTTTAATGTGCAAGGAGTAAATTTACCTGATTATCACAAAATACTGAAAATTAATAAAAAAAATTGTTTCACAGAGCCTGGGAAAGTATTTCACCTGTGATCATACATGCATGTTGCAGGGAGGTTATTCTGCCAGTTGCACCACAGCCTGGCACCACAATGTCGCCTGTGTGACAATTACTATATTCATGTCAGACAAGACCAAAGTCATTACAGTGATTAATAGTGGGAGGATAGGTAGGTCTGATAAACAGGTGATAGATTTGCTGATTTGCATTCCATATATGCATGAAGGCCAGGCATGTTGTCAACTAATGGTCACAGCTACACAAACATAAGTTTATGTAGATTTGACTTATTTATTTGCTTCTTTAATTATGTCAGTGTGCATTAATTGTTTGAGTAATGTCAGTTTTATATCTGAAAGTTACCTCAGTCAACATACTTCATCAGTTTCACATTTAATAAAATCCAGTTAACCTTCGCAAGCCCCGAGTTTAAACAACGCAAAGATGAGGATTAAATATAAATCTAAATCTTAAATATAATCCAGGAAGTCCAGTTTGAATTACGTCTTCAGCATCCATGAGTCTGAAGGCACATCAGATGCGAACAGTGCACAGAGCTTTATAATCCTCTGAGACAGGATTTTAAAACTCTGTAAAGTTATCATGGCGGCCATTATTTTATCTTTCATTGTGATGATGGCAATGAAACCAGTAGAAATACAGCATTTAAGTAGCAAAGTAAGCTACCACCCATGTGTTCTTTCACCGCTCCGTTGGGCCAATGCAGCACCCAATGGCACTGCAAAAGTTGAGTCAGGTTCAACTTGTCTGCCTGATGACGCTGTGTTTTTTTGCCATGTTTGGCCCCATTCAAATGAATGACGTGGCTGCGTTGTTTCATGCAAGGATGAGGTCAGTCTGAACACGGCCGTAAAGTGCTCTACAAGGTGAAAAAGCTGGCATTCTTCAAGCAATCTTGGGTCGTGGAGGAAAGGTACATTACAAGTATTTAGTTAGTCAAGCATATTACTGTTTAAAACCTCCTCCAGTCTATTGTCTACATTGCTCATGAATGAGGAGCATTAGAGTGTGAGCCTGAACATACAGATGGACAGTGGAGAAGTAGATTTTGATGACTGATTTGCTTTGCTGAAGAGAAAATCAGAACAGATCTTAACTTGACAATCAAAACTACCTGGGAATTGAAAAAATGTACTTATCACATTAACAACATCTCCATCATCATAAACACTGCATCGAGAAAAGCCCCAGTGTTGTCAAGGGCCCTCCCTGCCCTCTCGTGGTTGCCAAATTTCTCATCAACAACAGTTACCTGAACTGAACTAACCAGATCAGCACTGAAGCTTTAGCTTTGCTTGTCCATCAACAACAGCACCCTCTTCTGGGTTTGATCAGAAAGGCAACCAAGGGGTTACTTCCTATGACAGCTAGTTTTCTGATATTGTAGTTGTATCACTGCCTGTGGAATCTCTAAATACAACCAGTGCTGTGACGTCCCCCTCTAGTTTTTAAATGAAGGCGTGGCTGCTACATTTCAAGAATAAAGTAAAATAAGTTACTGAAACTTTATTCAAGAAATTTTTGAACTATATATTTTTTTTTTTAACTCACGCAAGTTTATCTGAAGCGGTTTTGAGAAAAAAATCCACTACACCAATTTACATTTGCTACAGCACATTCAGCCATAGTTCTTAGTTGGCAGGATATTTACATCCTTCACTTGGTCTAGAGGATGACTGGCTGGTCCAACACATTATCACAGTGGACAGGTTTTAGGTTGGAAAATGGCTGTTTGGCACCATCTGGTGGGTTATGTTTGGTAAGACAGGAACATGCCTGCTCCTCCCTTTGCCTCCAGAATGGACTTTTACATTTTTGTAAATTAAGTTCAAACATTTATTGAAGTTTGCCATCTTTACGTTATGAGTTACAGTGTGAGTTAAATTCAAGGTAACAGCAAAGACAAAAGCAACAGGGTACACTGAATAAGCCCCTGAGGAATACTGATAATCTACTCCACTCTGTACAGTGTTGATAGATCTTTAATGCCCTCTACAGGATTAGTTGTTTGCAGCAAAATAAAAAAAAGAACAATACAAATGCACCATGAAAACTGTGGCAAAACAACAATGTTAACAACTGAAATTAAGAAGAAAAAAAAATGTTTTCTTAAATGATTATGAGTAATGGAGCTGAAGAGGTTCACCTGCTCTTTTGATGATCTCCCAGACAGCTGCAGGCGTGGCAGGCACCATGGATCTCTGGTCCAGACACAGCTTCCCAATATTCACAATATGGAAACCATCCACATCCTTCTCTGGAGCGATGGCATTACACACTGCCCGCTCATTGATGTGCTCTAACAAGGGGAGGGAGTTGGACAGATACTCAGTGATGTATTACATATGATTAAACACACAACTTAAAGACTAATTGTTGATCGCTACACTCTACACTTGTATTACATGCTGCTGTAAACGTCATCATCAATTAGCCTGATACAGTCTGTCCATAAATATTTTTCTTGCTTTGATTCCCACAGTAACTGACTGAGACGATACAAAACAGAAACAAATGATGTGTGAAGAAAGTCTTGACAGGCTGATGTAACCCAGGTTATAAACACAATAACAAATAATTATAAATAGCAATATAAAAAACTGAATAGATAAAAACAACAAAAAGAGTCTTTCTCAAAATGCTTTCAAATTCACTTTATGTTGGTTTTATGTGAATTCAAAAAAATCATAACTCATTTTATTTTAACTTTTATTCAACATCCCCATCCTTTAGTGTCATGAAAATGTAGTTGACAAAAAACAATTCAAGACTAGATTGAACATTTATCCTAAACAAGATAAGGAGTTTTAGTGAAACTTGCCTTCTATTTATTGTTAATAATTGTATGTGTTGTATATTGTATGTGTGTTAATGTTTGTTGGTAAACAGTTTAGGTCCAGTAGCTTAAATTTCTCTGTTATATAGTGACACATGGCTTGTGTCCTCAGACAAATTTAAACCTTTGTGTATAAGTAAATTGGGGGTGAAGTCAGGTCATTTAAAGGGAATACACTTGAGACCTGCTGTTAAAAAGGCTAAATTTTATTATGTAGGAAGGATCACCAGAAACTGAACTGCAATGACTAATTAAATTTTGGTTGACTTTGATGTCAGTGAGGAAAACTCATCTGCAGCTGTGGCCCATGTTTACCGGGAAGTGGCAGCTGCACCAACAGGCCGCTGACCCTCCAGTCACGGTTCATCTTGTCAATCAGCTCCAGCAACTCCTCCTGGGAGACGGAGCTAGGTCGCACCACTGTATCACTGGAAATACCTAAAGAGCACATGCACATCACACACATACGCCATGTTCAAAATCTTGCCATGTGCATGTTAATACGCAGTTGTGTGAAACTGCATTACATCATATTAGTTTTGCTTATGAAACGTGTTAATCAATGTGTATCCATGTGTCCATGCATGCATAGAAATGTGAAATGCATTAGGTAGATCTGTGTTGTGTTCGTTCATTTGCCACATTGTGTAAACAGTTTTCAGAAATGCGTGCAATGCTTATATCTGACCCAGGATGCTGGCTGCCCGGGTCTTGTTCTTAACATATGTACGACTGGCTGGGTCGTCCCCAACTAAGACCACTCCTAGGTGGGGCCTCATGTTGCCCTGAGCCACCAGCTCTTCCACATCACGTTGGATTTCTCTGTGGAGCTGACGAGCCAACTCTGTCCCCGAAATCACCACAGCAGCATGCCTGGGGAGGTAAATCACACAGACAGCTCAGACCACATCACAAAAAATATACACACATTATTTCAAATAAAGGATTAGTTAACTGACAAATTCCCTGATTCCAGCTTCTCAACTGTGATTAATTGTTGGTTCATTTAGTCATGGTGATAGTTAATGTATTTGGGATTGTACTGTTGGTAAGACAAAACAAGTAATTTAATTTTGTCAGCTTCAGCTCTGGGAAATTGTGATGGTTGATTTTTTTTTCCCTATTAGGATTAGTTGAAGCTCTGCAACTAGCAATATTTATTATCAGTTAACTTTCTTGATTAGTTGAATAGTTGTTTTGTCTGTAAAATGTCAAAAATTCAGAAAAATGCCCAACACAATTTCCAACAACCCAAAGTGACATCTATAAATGCCACTTCGTTCAACCAGCTATCCACATCCCAAATCTTTTTCGCTTATTATTGTGTAGTCATAAAACCTTGACATTTAGGAAACTGGAACCAGGAATGTTTAGAATGTTAATGTTTAGTATTTTCTACTTTTAAAAAATGACCATTATCAAAACAGATCCCAATTAATTTTCTGTTGATTGACTAATATATTAATTGATTGATCGAGTAATCATTGCAGCTCTATAAAACACAGTACACTGAAAAAATAGATTTTTTTCCCAGCAAAATTATGTCAAAATGATGGGCACCCCAGGTTTAATCCATATAATATCTGTCAACATAATATGATTAATAGCAATGTTATCAGAAATTTGCACCACTGCTCGTCTTATCCAGACCCTGTTTAAAAGTCTAGCTCGAAGACCTCAGTTGAACATAGTAGGTTATGTCAAGGCTGTTTTATCTAAAGTTGTGTTTTATCAAATAGCTTAATAACTGATCATCTGATCATTTCAACTCTTGTGTACCGATTCATTCCCCTTTGCACATCTGGGGAAATAATAAAATGGGGATTAACAGGGGCACAACAATACATTTTTGCCCGCGGCATCCGAGGAGGTTAATCCGGTCATGGTAACGGAAAAGACTGAAAATAATCGTTAATTAGTAACAAGAGTACCGAATCATCGTTATTCTGCTCTTGTCTTCCGGGTGGAAAAATGATTTATGCTTTTGTTCTTGAGATGTTGGCGGTTAATTAGGAAACCTAGGTTAGTAGGCACACGGTAATTATTAGCCCCGGTGATTCATATTGACAGTTTAACCGCAGCTAACCGTCGTCTAGCAGCAGCCAACATTATACACATGCAGTGTGCTCTTAAACTACAGCGAGTTATGTAACTGTGACCGGTTTGTTGACAGCGTTTTTAGATTTAATCTGACCAGTAATTCACCTTCCAGTTTAAGGTACGGTGCGACACCTGCCCTCTCTTCCGTGAACGGTGAAACCTACTGTCAATCACCAATCCGCTAACACGTGACGGTACACACGCCTTCACCGGCTCATCCATCCCTTCGCAAAGTAATACCCCACATTTAAAGACAAAAACAGCGGTGTTTTAAATGTGGTGCACTTTACCTCGTCGCCGACTGTTGTAGATGTCTCCTTTGACTCTCGCATTTTCTGTGCATCCGCAGTTTGGCCCGACAGCAGTGATGGTGTAACGTTAACGGGCTACAAATCCTGAAGGAGGAGCGTAGCGGTGAAACAGAGGCCGCCATGTTTGTGTGCGTGTGTCGCAGAGCGTGTGTACGTCGTGCGTGTGTCTGGCATGAGAGGGGGGGGTGGGGTGGGGGTTAATGATAGGCTGAAGCTACTGTACACACTCCACATACTGAACATACTGTACATATCTTATTAACTTGTTTGTTATGGATTCTTTGTTATTCATTATATATATAAAATTGGATTAAAAAAAAAAACAAGATCCTCTGGGCCTCAAAAAGCCCCAAGTTATCTTCACATATTTTAATTAACCACAATATTGTTAGAACTTTGTGCTGCTTATAGCATACAATATCAACTCTATTAGGTCCTACATCCTCCACCTTTTCCTGTTAAGCTATGATCCTCACATTTGATCAAATTCGATGGCTTGTACTGGAGCATTTGTATGCAAACTGTTGTACACATTATATCAATTCTAGTATATTTAAGTGTAATTTAGGTCATGGATTCTTTTTTCATTGGGCTCTTATTTCATAGCCACATATTTCAGAGCAAATCAAAGTGTAGCCATATAAATATCACAGTATACAAAAAGCAGTGAATGTCACAGCTGTGCTCTGTTTTGCCACAAGATGACAGCAAATATTTGCTGCATTAACTGAAGTGTGGAGGATCCATTTAAAATACTTGAAATTTCAGAGAGAGGAAAATGAACACTAGGTATCCACTAGGAATATGATAAACAGATCACATGTATGTAAAATATCTGACTGGATGTTGATCCTTCAGCCCAGAAAGGGAGCCGCACAGCGATGTTCATGCATACAAATGATTCAACAGAACCAAGATTATGGCCCACAAACTTGATGGTTTAACTAGACCAATTAATAAAATAAGGGCAGAGTAAACAATATGGGGACACAGGGAAACATCACTTATACAAGCCATTCATATGCAGCCAAGAATAAGGTGATGGCTGGATGCATGGTTGGATGCACAAAGTAGGCTATATGATTGTGACTACAATGAATTTCCTCATTCATTTCAATATTTAATCAAGACTACAATTGATTCTCTGTTAGCTCTCTAAACATAATCATAAAAAGCAGAAAAGCTGATATTGTTGTCAGTGTTTAATATGTTCAGTGTAAACATTTTGTCACCATATTGATAAAAACGTAACCCTGGGTGGAAGAAGTTGAGACAAAGAGGCTTTGCAGCACATATGCACAACATAATCACACATAAAATTCATGTATGTTTTCAGTGTAAACTTTCACTACAAATTCACCGACAAGGACGACTGCATGTGGTTTTGCAAAGGGTTGTCACACCTGCAAACCAACAGATGTGTAGGAGTAAAAGCAATCACACTGTCACTGACACTTATTGGTGAATATATTAAATCACCACAATTCAATCCAGTGATCTTCAACCCACATTTATGTTACATGTGAATGGAGTTACTTCACGTGATGTCTATTATTGTATTTGTATCATGTTATGTTAAGTGAAATGTCCAAAAACCACATCCACACAACTTTTCCTCATAAGAAACAAGCTCTTAGTATGACAAACATGTAAGTGGAGCTAAAAGGAAACACAACTCCAAATGAATGCTAATGTTGTTCATGTTGTTCATTTTTCTGTGCTGCCACTGATGGCCAAAAGTTCAATCCATGCAGTGTGTGAACAAGCAACAGTATTATGAGCCAGCTATCTTTACACTCCGCATTGTAAGTAAGATATACAGCAGGTAACACTATGGCAACTGTTCAAATAAGGACTAAACAATCTATCTCACAATACGGCTGGTTATGTAAGTGGATTCCTGCAGGTTGGTGTTAAAAAGTTCAAGAAAAGAAAGTTAGGGGCAATTTTAAAGAATGACATTAAAGAAAGAGAAAATAAAATGTTAATGCATCGTACATGTCTGACAAAATCTAAAATAAAGATTCAATATGTATAAAGCTCGGCACAAAAAAAACACCTGTAACACACATTCAGACTAAAGGTTTGTTTGAGTGTATTCAGAAAATCTGGTAAACACCGCACCCAAGCAGGCTTGCCTGGGCACAGGCCTTACGGAGAATGTATGAATTATTCTGTGTGACAAAAGCTAAGCTACAGTTTACTTAATGACTGGCTTTAACTACATGGTCTGTTTGCCAACCCATAGGTAAATTACGTGACTCCAAAAACATTTGCTTTTATATATATATATATATATATATAAATATATTTTGTAAATTACATTTATTAAAACAACGCAAACTGCAGACTACACAGTGAAAAGTACAGTCGCCAACCAGGAACACGACTTGGACTGAGAAGACTCCAGGAAAGCAAGAACAAAGAGGATCAATTTCCTGTAACTGTGATGAAGCTGCGATATTTGTTATGTGACTGTTAGACAGCATACAGAACATCTGAATCACAAGATGTTGACCCCTCAGTGGTTGACAAGTACTGCTGTTAAAAAACTGTTACAATTACAAGCTTCTGAACAGGGTTGCTACTCACACCGACTCTTTACATAAAAATTTCATGCCTTTTACTCTGGATGGGTAAAGAGTTTGACAGTCCCCTGTGCCATTTTTTCAGGTACCTTAAAATGAAAAACTTTGCCTTAAAAAACGATCCTGTCTTCCCGTCTCAAACTCCCACCAGGTGTTTGACCTTCTGTACTCACAGAGATGCTGCTATAAGCACACGTTAACACATGCGTGTATCAGATTTTTGATGTTTTGTGTGACCGTCCTTGGAGCATCTTAAAAAAATGGCAGCATGACTTTTATCAGAAGATTGCAGATAAGACTCATCCATTGAGATGATCCATACAACCTGACAAGGTTAAATCCAGTTTAAAATAGTTCACAAACTTTAGTCCACGTTTGAACCAAGTCAATTTGAATCTCTCTCGAGCCCATGCTGATGCTGTGGCCTTGTTGCTTTAGGCAAAACATCTCAGGCCAGTTTCACAAAGATAAACTTTGACTGTGGCTTACATATAACAAATAGTTGGACCTCAGATAGACGTCTAAATTCATCAGTTGCACAACGCAGTTTAGTTCTTGACTATCTTAAACCGGACTGTGGTACAATGAATTCTGGGTAAATTAAGACTTTTTTTCAAAATAAAGGAACCGCATATATCACTCAGATCCATTTACTGCAGCAAAAAATGTTTGTCCTTTGGAAGAATTCATCATTTACAAGGACATTGCTGTGGTCTCTAAAACCTCTTTCCCATCTCGTTGCTCTCTCCATAACGATGTTATTAAACCACAAATTGTGACCCATGCATGTTCCTGTTTTTTGGTGCTACTGGTCAGTGCAGGTGTCATTGATTGTTACCATGGTAATATTGGTCTTAGGCCTGAGTTAGTCTGTAGGTAAAGGTGTAGGCAAAATTGACTTGATTAATAAATATTAATAGATAACCACAACTTTGTACAATCATTGCAGTCGCTTTGTTAATGTGTTGGCCAGTCCTTCAGGGGATGGGATGGGTATGATGCGGGAACTTGAGGCTTTGAAATCATAAATAAATGTTTGAAAACCCAATATTAACATCTGAATATATAAATTGTAATTTTTTTTATCCTCTTTGGGATGAGCATTTAAAAGAGGTCAATTCTATTGCAAATCTGCTCTCAGACCATTATAAGATTTTACAGGATTACGATAAAAGAAAAAGCCCCATTGGATTTATTGTTAGAGAGTTGGCCAACAGGCTAAATACAGTTTGGGTCTGTCTGCTAATATGTTACGGCTGTGGCCTTGTGTAGGTTGAGCAAATTCATCTGACTGTTAAGGCCAATGTGGAATAAGGCTAGGCGTGGGTGAAACTCTGTATAGAGAGTCAGTAAGAGTCAGTTGTTCCACACCATGAATGGAGCCGAGTCATGTCTCAACAAGACCCAGCTTTTATACAATTGGAAATGGAAATTGTTCCTCAGATCTCTCTCTCTCTCACACACACACACACACACAGACACACACACACACTCCAATATTATAATTAAATTTAAAGGTCATATTTATTTTTTATTAAACTTTGAAGCCACTCTCAGGCAAATGCATGGTGAAAATGGAAACAGTTGGTACATGATATTAATGTGGATTTTTTTTTTTTAAATGATTCAACCTTCGTGTGCAATTAACTCTCACTATCTCTGCTCTTGCTTTTTACGGTGTACATACTATAAATTTAAATCATAAAGTTGAGGTTTGTTTAATTACACTCCAAACGACCCCTCCTCCCTCTCTCCCACCCACTTTTGTTGACTGGCTCAGTCGGTTACGTAACACATTTATGCCTCGCGCACGTGGCCACAGCCATAATAGACGGCAATATGTGGACGGATTAAACATTACCATCGACCCAGTGATCATAGCGTCCACACGTAACCCCACATAATACCTTTGATGCGGACATTAAAGGGCGAAGTCGAGGGGAAATTCTGGTTAAATAATGGATTTTTTTTCCCAGCAATAGACAAGACTCGCCAAGACGGATTCCTCAGCTCGACACGGGTCCTCTCCGTCTCAACCATAGAAATAATCCACAATGAAAGCAGACTGTGGGAAGGGAACAGGGCAACGTGTTTGCTCATAACTAGATCTGACTGTTCACTCAGTGACTGTACTGTGTTTTCATCTTTGCTTGTTAAAAAAACAACAACACACCGAGTAGTTTCTTTCATTTCCTTAGGCCTTGTGGAAAATGACATTTCACATTTATCTCAGAGGAAGAAGCTGCACATGTGAGCAACACCGATTTAAAGCAAATAATATTAAGCAAATATTAGTATTTCTGCCACAGAACTACTGACCATTAAAATATATTCTGAATAATAAAATCAAATTAAGAACATAATGTACATAGGCTACATAAATGCACTTTAACCCATTTTTATTCATACCAGATCTCCCTGAACACATTAATGGTATTAGGTATATTTATTGCTCTCCCCCCTATATGGTGTCATCATGCCCTCACCAGAT